AGAAACAAGATATAGGAATAGGTTTTACCCTTTTAACTGGCACAAAAACTGACACCTGAGCCAAATTCCAAAAGTGGCATTCTTTCCTGTGCTTTAAGATTGTGAGCTTGCTTAACTATAATATATATTTGTAATACAGTTTTGGGATTGCTTAATATAATGGCTGATGTGAGGTTAAAAAGACAAGTTTCTAGGGAAACAGACAGAAAACCCCACAAGAAGCCTCGTTGGGATTACGGGTCGCCTTATCATGTAACCTTTGCACGTCTGGGAATGGCCAGAATGCATGCTCGTACGTTTGTCGACCCGCCTTGGGGTAACTCGGGCACCCTTGGTTAGATGAGGGACAGTAGTTGACGCAGTGTGTGATAAGACTCACGGAAGAATTTGCATTGTTTTTTTTTATGTAGCTGTGATACCGCTAAAAGAGGTTATTCATATAGCTGACCAGTCTTGATTCAAAAGTAGCCAAGATATTATGCTATTCCAAAGCACTGCAGCTTGTCGTCGTATTTTAAATTAAACTATTGAATTTCATTGAATAATCGAAGTGCAAGTATTGTCCTTCAACCAGCTCTTATATTAAACGAATGAAATAAATCAGAATCTTAATTTAAACTGGAGGAATCCGAGGAGCTATGAAGCTATTTTTCACAGATGTCCAGTATTCTCATTACATGAAAGTGTTATGATTATTTCAACTGCCCCCAATAAGTTTGTAAACATTTATGACCGGAAGGTTGCTATTGCAACATTTACGGCAGTGTACAGGGTAGAAGAGAGAAAGGTGCTGCCCTGCAATTGCCTTATCACACTGCTGGTGGAAGGCCTCCTCTATGGGATATTTGGTATTCTCTTCCACGTTGACCAGACGTGCTGAGAGAGGTGGGCATACCCACATTTTACCCCATCACATACAAACCTCACGATCAAACTGTGGTGTACCCATTTATACTGAGGTTCGATCCTGATCCTAAAGCCTGTATACTTCGAGTTTGCATGTGCCCATGGTCGCGTGGATTTTTCTCTGGGTGCTCCAGTTTTTCCCTCCACATTTAAAAAGATGCGTTTAGAGTATATGGGTGCTATAAATGTCCATATAAGACACTTCGTTGAGCTATCATTTGTGGCCAGGTCACTTTCTCAAAAAGAGCTATATAGTTCAGTGGGCATTACCTGCTAAAATAAAAAAAGTTTTTTTTGTTAATATAGTTTACAATCGGCTCATGTACAGGTGCAATAGGAATTTCTGCATGGCATGACTGAAACATGGGTGGTGAGGGTTTGAGGCATTCTTTAAGTCGTGGCTTCTAAAAAAAAATAGTTTAAGAGTTTAGAAAGTTGGTATGCTTTTTTCTTTCCTGAAGAACCTGAGTGGCTCCATTCAGTGCTCTCGCACTCGCTTTCCACATCGATGGATGAAAATTTAATTAGTCGCGATGGTGTCAAAAAATGTGTTGCTTTCACATAGGACTCTAGCCAATAGGTCATGGCAAAAACATCTTCATTTGATGGTCGTCTATTAGGCTTTCTAGCCCCAAGAGCCACACTGTTCAAATTATTAAACTCATCGTATAGATAATTTTCCAATTATCTATACGACTGCTGATATCCCTTATTTATGTAGAGCTTCTTTCGCACCGTACGTAGGCAACCGTGCCTGACACCCAAAATCAACTTATCGCAACAATCCATATGCTAGAATGAAATAATTAAGCGGCTTATCACTTACCATCACAAACACGCTTACATCCTAAGTACAGCAATTCAACCCTTTTTAAATGTTTCCACAATGCAGTTGTAACTATACTGCGGCTTCTTTTTATAAATCTCCCTTACCTTTACACTCTCAGAGGACAAAATAATAAAACGCTCACTGCTTCTTGCAGGTGCATTTGTCATCATATACCATATGCCCACCAACGATAAGAAAAACATGGAGTAAAATATGAGATATGCTGAATCTCTTCCCAAGCACCGGGGTCATGCCGTATTCACTATGCATTAAAACAAATCGTACTGCCTTAGGATACAGTAATACAATTAGCATAAATGAGTAACTCTTGTACTTTTGATCAGCTTATGAAAAATGTAAAGGAAATACAGGAGACTGGATATTGCGGGGGTGATGTTCTTCGTACTTAAGCTTTACCCAAATAATGGGGTTAGGTCAACTCAAAATACACTTCACAATTGAAATAAGTACGGTATGCCAAATAAACTAAAAACAAAACAATTGAAAGACATGTACAAAACTCGATAGAATATTCCTAGACAATAGAGTATAAATACAGGTGGTACTCGACTTACGAACACTCGGGCTTACGAACCAGCTACCATACATTTATTTTTGTAACATTGACTTAACACACAAACTCGCACTTGCAAACTGAACCACAGAACAATTTATTTCAGCGGAAGCGTTGGGCCAGCCTCGCGCGTGGAGTGTATGTGCGCCCACGTGTGTATGTTGTGTAGTGCAGCATTTAGTGCTCTGCGCTACGAAACCGGAAACCGCGTTCGATTCCCGCTCAAGGCCCAACACCAGTGACTTATCTGAACCGGTTCTGGGTCTTCCCTAGGTCGACTCGGCCTTAAATGACACCTGGTGCAGTGTAAATATCTTCACTAAAAAAAACACAAAGGCGGCCGGGCGTGGTGCTGGCAACCCCACCCCCTTGTGTGCCGTGCCGTCCTTCGTAGGTGCTCGCTAATAGCACTTGCCCCAAGTCTATTCAGAGATGCTTGCACGGCAAAGGCTGAAGTTCCGCGGCCGCCCCACACCACGTTATCAGCTACACATACACCATCGCTTGAGAAAGATCTCGAGTGACGGTACTTCCGTGTACAATATACCCGCGAAAGGCCAAAACCCCCGCGATAGCTAAATTGGTATACGGCGTACAGATTGCCTGCAATTAGTCGAATGGTAATCCGGTACAGTTAAAACCTCCAAAGCTCAACTGAAGCCAGGATTATGGGTAAAGCATAATGGCTAAGCACCACGTGGTAGATGATGTGTGTACTCGCAATTCTAAAGATATATACACGTGCTGCACTCGTGTTGTATGGAATTCGATTAGCCCGTGCACATGAACATAGCCCCAGAAAAGCATGTGGATGAGCGCTGTCTCATTTTACAAATTATGCCTGATAATTAGCTTAAGATTATAAATCAGTTATATGTGTTCGGTATTATGATAAAATGTGATTACAATTGAGTAATTGTGCTACAGCAGCGAAGCCGCTCCGTCGGAGCCGTGCCTGCCACTGCGATGCCGCAGCAGCAGCGAGGCCGTCCTGACCACTCCGTGGCCGCGACGCCGCCACCTCCGAGCGACGGGGCCGACGCCGCTCCTCCCTCACCACCCCCCACGTGAACACACACACCCACATAGAGCCCCCACATGAACACACACACAGAGCCCCCACATGAACACACACACCCCCACATGAACACACACCCCCACATAGAGCCCCCACATGAACACACACACACCCCCACATAGAGCCCCACATGAACACACACACACACCCACATAGAGCCCCCACATGAACACACACACACCCCCACATAGAGCCCCACATGAACACACACACCCACATAGAGCCCCCACATGAACACACACACACCCCCACATAGAGCCCCGCATGAACACACACACACCCACATAGAGCCCCCACATGAACACACACACACCCACATAGAGCCCCCACATGAACACACACCCACATGAACACACACATAGAGCCCCGCATGAACACACACACACCCACATAGAGCCCCCACATGAACACACACACACACATAGAGCCCCCACATGAACACACACACACCCCCACATAGAGCCCCCACATGAACACACACACCCCCACAGAGCCCCCACATGAACACACACACCCCCACATAGTGTCCCCACATGAACACACACCCTCGCATAGAGCCCCGAGGGGAGGTCACCTGGCCGACAGGTTTTCACCCAGAAGCCCTCTCATGGGACCAAGCTTCACGGTTTCCTGCGACCAGGGAATTGGGCGACCTCCCGCCAGGCTAACTCGCACCACGGCGCCGTGACTTGGGGTGTAATCACGTGGTCACGACGGGGCTGCTGAGCCACTGCTGATAGGACACACCCCCAACACACACGGGTCAGCAGGCAGGTAGGGGGTGGGGCGGAGTAGCGAGCGGCGGGTGAAGGCATGGGGCCCTCTCCTTGCACAACGTGTGCGCTTGTTCAAAGAGTAAAAAGCGGACGTCGGTGAGAGCACCGATCGGGTTAGCGAGGAGCGGGAAATCCGGGGCTCCTGATTGGGCGAGAGGCCAGCGGATTAGCGGCAAGCTATCTTTGATGTAGGGACAATAAAAAGGGCAGGGAAGGTAGGGGTGGTCAGTCGTGTTCTTCTGGGGTCAAGGATCGGGGGAGTCATCGTGCCTGCCACTGGATCGTCTGTGAGACGAGTCGCAGCGCAGCCAGGCCCCCCATTCCCAGCAAGGACTACGAACAGCCTCGCCTTTCCACGGCTTCCTACACCTCGGAGTCGAGCGGGCGGCGTACCCGCGAGGTTGTTCACACAGCCCTTTAAACCTGCTACGGGGCACCTCCAATCAGCTGCCCGCGTACGAGTGACGCCCCTGCCCTCCGACCCCCGACCCCGGGTCCCGCGTGTGCAATTGGTGTGGTGTCGGGCAGGTAGCTGCGTCGAATTTTGATGGCTACGCGCCAGCCCGAATCATGCCCCGAGGGGCCGCAGCGAAGGGGGGGGGGGAGTCGGTGAGCAGTAACCCTCCCCAGGACACGGAAGAGGGGAGCAGTAGATCCCACATGAGCGAGGAAACAGGGGTGAGCCTCCCCGACATAATTGCAGTGTGCTGGACATCTTCCATGGCTGGAAAGGGTGTCTCCCCCCCCCCCCCCCCCCCCCCCACTTAGTCGGGTTGAGAGGTTTTACTGTACAATAAAACATACAAAGTGGGTTCTACAAAAGTGAGAAGCGCAAAATATGTTCTGTAAAACGTTTATTATAAGGCATCTGGTTTAAAGCAGTGGTTTCATATACAATGCAGACTGCAACTATCATATTAACCAATCCTAAAACAAAGCCTGAAACTGCTGAGAAAACCTTCATGTAATCTTCATCCGAAAAACTAAGTTTGCTTATTTTGTAAAATGTAGTAAAACGAGAGAATACGCATTCAATATTACCGATCAAACCAAAGTACAAGATTTACAACAAAAATTTTATTCACGCAAATACAGGAAAGAAAAATAATGGACCGCATCTGGCATATACAAAAAAAACAACATAACTTCTGTTGACAGCCATTGAAATCCAGACGTCTCCTTGACATTGCGCTCAACGTGCATCAAACACAACCACTGTACAAGCAGTCAAGGAAAATGTATTTCATATTTGCCATTCGTACTGATGTCAACACATGGGCCATGAATTTGCAATATAGCACTGCCACATTTACAGTGAGGGAAAAAAGTATTTGATCCCCTGCTGATTTTGTACATTGCCCACTGACAAAGAAATGATCAGTCTATAATTTTAATGGTAGCTTTATTTGAACAGTGAGAGACAGAATAACAAAATCCAGAAAAACGCATGTAAAAAATGTTATAAATTGATTTGCATTTAAATGAGGGAAATAAGTATTTGACCCCTCTGCAAAACATGACTAAGTACTTGGTGGCCAAACCCTTGTTGGCAATCACAGAGGTCAGACGTTTCTTGTAGTTGGCCACCGGTGTGTACACATCTCAGGAGGGATTTTGTCCCACTCCTCTTTGCAGATCTTCTCCAAGTCAAAGGTTTTGAGGCTGACGTTTGGCAACTCGAACCTTCAGCTCCCTCCACAGATTTTCTATGGGATTAAGGTCTGGAGACTGGCTAGGCCACTCCAGGACCTTAATGTGCTTCTTCTTGAGCCACTCCTTTGTTGCCTTGGCCATGTGTTTTGGGTCATTGTCATGCTGGAATACCCATCCACGACCCATTTTCAATGCCCTGGCTGAGGGAAGGAGGTTCTCACCCAAGATTTGATGGTACATGGCCCCGTCCATCGTCCCCTTGATGCGGTGAAGTTGTCCTGTCCCCTTAGCAGAAAAACACCCCCAAAGCATGTTTTCACCTCCATGTTTGAGAGTGGGGATGGTGTTCTTGGGGTCATAGGCAGCATTCCTCCTCCAAACACAGCAAGTTGAGTTGATGCCAAACAGCTCCATTTTGGTCTCATCTGACCACAACACTTTCACCCTGTTGTCCTCTGAATCATTCAGATGTTCATTGGCAAACTTCAGGCGGGCATGTATATATGCTTTCTTGAGCAGGGGGACCTTGCGGGCGCTGCAGGATTTCAGTCCTTCACGGCGTAGTGTGTTACGAATTGTTTTCCTGGTGACTATGGTCCCAGCTGCCTTGAGATCATTGACAAGATCCTCCCGTGTAGTTCTGGGCTGATTCCTCACCGTTCTCATGATCATTGCAACTCCACGCGGTGAGATCTTGCATGGAGCCCCAGGCCGAGGGAGATTGACAGTTCTTTTGTGTTTCTTCCATTTGCGAATAATCGCACCAACTGTTGTCACCTAACCAAGCTGCTTGGCAATGGTCTTGTAGCCCATTCCAGCCTTGTGTAGGTCTACAATCTTGTCCCTGACATCATTGGAGAGCTCTTTGGTCTTGGCCATGGTGGAGAGTTTGGAATCTGATTGCTTCTGTGGACAGGTGGCTTTTATACAGGTAACAAGCTGAGATTAGGAGCACTCCCTTTAAGAGTGTGCTCCTAATCTCAGCTCGTTACCTGTATAAAAGATACCTGGGAGCCAGAAATCTTTCTGATTGAGAGGGGGTCAAATACTTATTTCCCTCATTAAAATGCAAATCAATTTATAACATTCTTGACATGTGTTTTTCTGCATTTTATTGTTGTTATTCTGTCTCTCACTGTTTAAATAAACCTACCATTAAAATTATAGACTGATCATTTCTTTGTCAGTGGGCAAACGTACAAAATCAGCAGGGGATCAAATACTTTTTTCCCTCACTGTACGACACTGCATTGGGATTGTAAATTACCCCACTCTGAAAGCCACTGCACAAACATAAATACATTGAGCAGTTTAAAAAGGATACATCTTTTGGTTCTTTTCTTGTACATTATCCTGTATCCACACTCTCGGCATCGGATTGGATCCCTTGCCTTAATTTCATTTTCGGTATGGCATTCTGTAAAAATGACAAGACAGTCAAGTTGGTTGCAAACAATAACACTTACAAAAGCAGGGAAAATGGTACAAAGTACTGCTGCTGTTAACTTCATACCTCCACAAATGTAAATCATCGGTTGTTGCTTTGCTGGTTGTGCATCCTTGTTGGAATCCATGTGACTGCAACAAAAATAGCATACAAATATATCCATTCAAATATCTGAATATATTATCCCGCTGCACATTATATGCAATAAAGTATTGTACAACAGTCAATTTCGATGTTTTGAAAGTTAAAGATAATATATATCACCGTTTTAACAGGTTGAAAGCATCAGGCAGGGTCTAGTCGTAACGCTCCCTCTAGTGACTTTAAGTGATAATTGCAACAATTGCCGGTCATTTCTGTTTCTTAATCTCCACGTGTCTCCCTAAACAAGCGAGTCTCGTGTGGGACTAATCTGCATTAGCCTTTCAGCAAAGGGTACAAATTCCACACTTCCCTGGTGGAATTTGTTTCTTGCCAGTGTTGTCAAGTTAGATTATATCGACAATTGCTATTTCCCGAGCAACAAAATTACAACACATTGACTCTGAGATAAACATACTTTGCATCGGGGCGATTCGGGATGTATTCGATCAGTTTGTTTAGTAAACAGCTGTAATGCAGTAAACAGCTGGATTGTGCCTCCCAGCACGGCTCGACTCCCGACAGTATGAGTTTGTATGTTCTCCCCTTGCCACAGCTATTAAACGTAGAATGTATTCTTAGCTCTTTCGGTAAAGTCACGTTGAAGGGAAACAATAAAATAATAATATATAAAGCAATACAAATTCTCACGACGTTTCGACCATAACACAAACGGTCATCATCAGGTGTGAAAAACGTCGAAACGTCGTGAGAATTGTTTTTATTGTTTTATATATATTTTATTGTTTCCCTTCAACGTGACTTTACCGAAAGAGCTAAGAATATGAATTACTGCAGTCACGAAAGCTTCAAATCAAAATTTAAACGTAGAATGTATCAAGGTACTGGCCAACGTCGCCCCCTACTGTGAAAACGTGGCGACATCTTCCGTTTTGTCAGCCCGCTCCTCTCACGCCGTGCTACTTTATTTGGCCAGAGGCTGCCCAGTGCGGTTTGGTGGATGGCGGGGACCATGGCAGGCCAAAGCGTTTCATTTTTTGTTTTAATCCTCCTCCTGTTGCCCACCACGTTAGCCGCCCGAGCCGTGGTCGCCTATCCAAGCACGATCCACTCAGCCCTGCAAATGCCTTCGCGTTCTGGCGCATTCGGGGAGATTTTGGTCATAGGCCTCGTCAAAATCACGAAGTGGTTCTCTGTACTACAAGCAACCATCTGCATTAGAAAACAAAAAAAAACAGGTCAAAGTATGAATTGAAAAAGAAAGCCACCAAGGAGAGCCCGTTACATTAATCCGCCCAAGTGTCGGCGGATTCTCCTGTCCGCAAACACGCCGGGAGCAAGGCCTCCGTCGGGGTCTCCCTCAGCTACAGAGGCAACAGCAACATCGTGAACGCGAGCAACTTGGCTCATTTAAATGACGAGGCACTCTGCACCTAAGAGGCCGTCTTCAATTACTGTCATTGTTATTAGTTCATGGTCGTTTTAAGGAAATAAATCCGCCGTTCCCGAGCCGAGCGCCCCACGCTCACCCAAGTCACGCACGCGCGGTCGATCGGGAGAATCCCTGCTGGCGCACGTGGGTCACGCGCGTGCGCATTCGCTTCCGGGTCAAGTGACGCATTATCCGGTTCCGCGCGCGCGTTCTGGGTCACGTGACGCCCCCACCCCGCACACCCCTCCCACCCCCACCCCGCGAGGCGATTCCAGTGTCGCGCGAAACGATTCCAACGCCATCGATTGACAACCACGGGGCGGGGTTGTCCGATCTCAAATGGACGCATGGCGTGGCAACGTTTTAGTGTTCAGACTCTTCGTGGGGGTAGGGCTGGAGGAATCCGATGAGCCACAAAGCTCTTTTGGATTTTTTTTAATCTAGACGTGCCTGTAAGTTTTGATTTAAAGCTTTCGTAACTGCAGGGATTCATATTCTTGGTTCTTTCGGTAAAGTCACGTAGAAGGGAAAAATAAAAATATAAAACAATAAAATTATCACGACGTTTCGACTGCAACACAAGCAATCATCATCAGGTGTGAAAACCACAGCAAGAAAATTTGAAAAAAGTGGCGGTTATTTTTAACGTTAGCACCACGGATAGCGATTTGACAGTTTGTTTAGATGGACGAGTCCATCTATGTTCGGAAAAGAGGAGGGGGGAGATGAAAAATAATGGATGCGGTCTGAAAGCCACCGTAAGCGTCAACAATAAATTAAGACCCGAAATGGTTAATCAAATCCTTCCAATGATTGCTAAGCCAGAATCCATCTTCTCGGTTGAAATTGTCTCTGTGTTTGTATATGTGGATAGCCTCATGAACGAATCTCTCATGGTAGCCAGATGGCTTGCAAAGAACCTCTGTCTTGGAGAAGTCAATGTCATGTGAGCCTACTGAATTATAACAGTGTTCTGCCATGGCCGAGGTGTTGGTCCTACCGTGTTTCAGGTCTGCTTTGTGTTCACGAATGCGGTCCGAGACATGTCGTTTGGTTTCTCCAATGTTTCATAGTTTAGTTTTCATAGTTTCATTTATTTGGTATAGCCCTGTGAGCTATTTGGCTCTTGAATCAGGTGCAACCGCAACAAACAAAAAAACAAAAACATGAACAAGAAAACATCTTAAAGTGACTTTGTGCATGTGCAAACAGAAAATCCAGGACAAAAACATCAAACTATTCCTGAAATAGCACCGTACACCAACGCTGTGTGCAAAAATCCCAGTGGGATGCAAGTCAAACAACAACAACAAGAAAACTTAGATTAAGGCCATCAGTCTAACTCCGTACTACAATAAAAAAAACATGGCCAAACCAAAAAACTTTTAGAAATCACCAAAATAAAGCCATAAATGCAATGTAACAGTGATCATAGGAACTGTGACCGAATTTTTTTACAATAAACTACATAAATAACATGTAACACCAAACCCTAGAGCCACAGAGGCAACTTAGTTTGTAGACGCCAGGGTACTGTATGTCCGGAATCACATCTTTTACAGACGGAACCAGACCGCGGATTTTATGTAATGTGTTTTGAGTACGCAAAAAACAGCTGTGAAGGGAAACAGGGGGATTTCTCCACAAATCTGGCTGTCGCCTGATGATGCTAGATGTAATTACTGGCGAAACGTCATACTCAAGATTGTAAATGTTATTCTTTGGTTCATCATAATAATTCATAATAAAGGTTTTTGGGTTAGATCGCGTTCTTTCGGTAAGTAAAAATTGAAAATGTGGATTTGCTCTCCAACACACCGGTGTGCTGTACTAGTAACTAATTGCCACGTTATGGTTACGTGACAATCTTTAATAACTGTCTGTCGGGTGGTGGCGGGTTTAACAACACATTTATATTTACGCGATCCAACCCCCCATAAAAGCAGTATTTTGGATACTAGGGGTTGTTCGGGGGGGCCTTTGGCTCCCCCTCACAACCACTGACGGCCTTCGGCCAGGAAAGTCACAAAAAATTGCACAAACGACGCATTCACACAATAACCCGATGCTCCTTTTTGAAGTTTTAAAATGAAACATCTTTGAATTGTATTATGTTTTTTAATTAGATAATTGTATTTCTGCATTAAAAGCTTATATCATTTTACATCTGGAAGACTTCATTGAAAAGAACATTTCTTGCGAATTTTCTCTCGTCGTTAGGTAGATGGCCTTGCTGGAGGTTCGGTTCGATGCGGACTTTCACCTGTTTGGGATTGCGGGATCGAGATAAGGCGACACGGAGCTGCTGGCCGTGCGAGAAGACCGCCGTCTGCAGATCAACTCCAACATAATCGAACGTCTGTCCCTGTGCCTCCGTCGTTCATGCAGGGCACGTGGAGGTTTACAGCGCCCCCTGCATGAAAACGACGGAAAGTGCAGTGTTCATCACAGATAAATAAAGTTGTGCGATTATCTCCATATATATTAAAGACAAAGTTGTGATTATGTGTGTCTGTTCAAAATGTTTAGCGTACTTCCCGACATGCAACAAACTTGAAATTTGCCATGTGGGTACTTTACAGACTGTACACCATGCAAAAATTATAAAAATAAAAAAAATTTGGGTGGGGGGAGCTTAACAATGCATATATTTTTTGCACGGCAAGTGAGCTGTCACGTCAAATCTGTCACGTGACCCTCGCATGTGGAAGCTTAACGCATTGTAGTGTAGTGGTTAGCGCGCTGTGTATGTGTCTGTGTGTGTGTCTGTGTGTGTCTGTCTGTGTCTGTCTGTGTCTGTGTATGTGTCTGTGTGTGGAAGCGTAACGCATTGTAGTGTTGTGGTTAGCATGCTGTGTATGTGTCTGTGTGTGTGTGGAAGCGTAACGCATTGTAGTGTAGTGGTTAGCACGCTGTGTATGTGTCTGTCTGTGTGTGTGTGGAAGCGTAACGCATTGTAGTGTAGTGGTTAGCGCGCTGTGTATGTGTCTGTGTGTGTGTGTATGTGTGTGTCTGTGTGTGTGTCTGCGGTTTCATGAAAGGGCGGTCCTGCACAGATGCCATATTTTCTGTCCGTCTGCTACAGCAGAGGTGTAGGGAATTCCAGCAAGACCTACATCTCTGCTTTATTGACCTGGTCAAGGCCTATGATACCATCAGTAGGTCTGGGCTCTGGGTTCTTAGTGCTTTTGGAGTACCTGACCCTCTGCTCACGATCATTAAAGACCTTCATTATGGTGAGCGGTCCCGGGTAAAACTACGTGGCCGGGAGTCAGAGCCATTCCCTGTACACCTTGGGGTGCGACAGGGATGTCCTCTGGCTCCCACATTATTTAACATCTATTTTGACCACGTAGTTCGTGAAGCCTTCAATAGCTGTACCGGGGGAATCTCCCTATGGTACAAATATAATGGGAGGCTGATCGATGCCCGGGTGCGGTCAAGGGATGGCTCCCTATTGCTCAACCACGTTATGTATGCCAATGATTTGGTAATAGCTGCTCATTCAGAGGAGTTGGAGACGCTGCTGCTGAGACTGGAGCGTGCCACTAAGAGGTGGGGCCTTACCATCAGCCCCACCAAAACTAAGCACCTGCCTGGGTATTTTGTACCATCGGACACTCCACCCCCACAACTCCCAATCGGTGATGGGGCAGTTGTGGAGAGAGTGGAGAGTTTCCCATACCTGGGCAGTGTGCTTATGACCGGCTCCAGTTTAACAGCAGAGGTCTCACTCCGAATCAGTCGAGCGGCAATATCTTTTCATCGGTTGCGTAAGGGTGTGTGGAAGCTACCTGGTCTGTCGCTCCGCACTAAGCTTCAGGTCTTCTCGGCCACGGTCATTCCCTCCCCTCTCTACGCTTGCGAAACGTGGCCCCCCCTAATGGAACATCTTCGCCGGTTAGAAACATTTAGGCTGGCCTGCCTACGATCCATCCTGGGTTTAACCAGACTAGATTGTGTGAGGAGCTCACAAATCCTTGAAAGATCTGGGCAAGGTCCCATCGGTGAGCTCCTCCGGCGGGCAAGGCTGCGATGGCTGGGTCATGTAGCCCGCATGCCCAGCCACCGCATGCCGAAACAGCTTTTGTTCGGCCGGATTGAGGGGGCTAAGCGGGCGCGGCACGGGCTAGAGAAGAGATGGAGTGATGTGGTACAGGAGGCACGGGCTAGAGAAGAGATGGAGCGAAGTGGTACAGGAGGACGTGGAGCTGAGTGGACTTGCCGATGACTGGTACCAGCGGTGTCAAGATCGGCCTCTGTGGAGGAGGCTCGTGAAGGACGCTACTGGGCAGTTGGAGGCAGTCGCCGTCCAACAACAACGGAGGGCGGAGAAGCGACGCTCACAACAACGAGCGGAGCGCCGGGTGGCTAAAGCACAGCGGGTTGGCACAGTAGGGGGCACAGGTGGTGCATCAGCCAGTCATCTCAGTCAGTCGACCCGTGCCACCTGGGTCTGCCCCATGACCTCCTGCCAGCGGGCGTTCGACACTTCACGTGGCCTCAGGGTGCACATAGCCTGGCACAAGCGTCGTGGTGACGTCACCGCCACTTAGTGGCGAATGGCGGTTGTTGTTGTGTCTGTGTGTGTGGAAGCGTAACGTATTGTAGTGTAGCTGTCTGTGTGTCTGTGTGTAAGTGTAACGTATTGTAGTGTAGTGGTTAGCGCTACGCTGCGCTACGAACCCGGCGACCCGAGGTCGATTCCTGCTCACGGCCACCACCGGTGATGATTGTTTCAACCGCTCCTGGGCCTCCCCTAGGTCAACTTAGCCGCAAACGAGTAACTGCTGTGGTGTGAACATCGCCACTGTGAGGACAAAGGCGGTCGGGCGTGGTGCATCCAAGTCCCGGGCAGTAAAGCTAGTTACTGTATAAGAGTATTGGTCGCGAAAGCCTCCTTGGTGTTAAATAAACCGAGCTGTGAAGTGAGTGGACGGACACGTTGTAACACGCGCGTGCTTGCTGCTGCGCAACTCGTGGGCCGCAGTGATGTCGTCCAGCCTTTTGAGCGTCGCACTTACCAAAGTAACGATATTTTGCGAACAAAAGTCACAAATTCGCGTGTTTATTGAAGCTCATTTACGCGTTCAGACGGGCGAACGCGTTTACGAAATCAACCGAATCGATTTATTTTTGTACCTGCTAGCAGTTGGAATCGAATCGCTTGCCTCTCACGCCCCGCCCCGCCCCTCCACCGCCCTATGAACAACGGAGCCATCGGGGAGAGAGACGCGGCCGAGCGGAACGCGGGGACAACGAGGGCTTAGTGGTGAGAGGAGAAGGCGGTAGACACCACGGCAGCAGAGGTCCGCGCCATGTGCCCCGGCCTCCCTGCCCGTCGCCCCCCGTCGTCCCCATGTCGCTGTGGGTGTTGAGGTCCTGCCCGGCGCGGCCCGGGTGGCTGCCCGCCGCGGGCCTTGGGCTGCTCCTGCTCCTGTTTCTACTGCTGCTGCCGCCCCTGGCTCCAAAGCTTCGTCCGCTCCGGTGTATCCTGGGTGGAGGAGGAGGAGAAGGCGGCAGTGGCCGGGCCACGCACGTGGACGCGTGCGGCGGCGGTGGCCGGCCCGAGTATGCGGCCACCACGGCGCTGTTGGGACTGGTGATGAGGCTGCCCCTAGGTCTCGGTGTCGGAGGAGATGGAGGAGCGGTGGAAGCTGGAGCGGGAGGTTGGAGCTGGCCTGCGACAGAAAAACCCAAGACCTCTCCTGGTACAGTTTATGTTGGGGGGGTTTGGGGGGGGGGCGAGAACATTGGTTTCCCCATGGATGTATATAGTCTCACTCCCGCCATGGAAATGTGGAATTGTCATCGCAGAGATGAAATAGCCCCGCTGTAACCTTTTTTTGAATATTGAAACACGAGCACCTCATTTAAAGCCACTCTAGTTTGTCCTAATATAGTACAGTAATCTCAATAGTTGGTCAATATTGTACTGTCTAGCCACCGCTCTGTAACGGCGTATTCTCTCCCGGTTCTGCGATGTTAATCTTTGAAGCTCGTGGCCACCAGCCGCTGTCACTGCTCCGCCGTCTCCCTCCTTTGGCTGCCACCCCCGTGGCTCGTCTCGACCACCAATGTCGAGAGCTATGACCTGTCATGGCCCCAAGCCCGCTTCTCTGAGCAGTCGCCACGATGCCTCGATTTTTAGACGTTTTCTCAAACACTTTATACGCTTCCTCGTTCTTAGTGTAATTCCGAGGCGGGGCGGTCGGAATGTGAGGCTATTGTATGACATTTAACATACCGTATGAAAGTTAATGTTTTGGAAAATGGTCCTTTACAATAGTAGAGCGTAGAAAGGATGTTTCTGTATTGGTGACTTTTTTGTATTTGTGGCAACAGCAGGTTAGGAAAATGTGCCCGAATGTAAATGAATGGAATATTTGTCGGCGTGTTTTACATTCCACTTCCACGTCATTGCCAAGGGTTTCCGTTGCGTTGTTTCGTCTCACTTGTCACCCTGTGATTGGTAGACGAATCCACACTGACAGCAGCGGTGACGCACGAATGCTCCCTGGTTGTGCCAGCTCATTTATTGACTTATCTCACCCACGTCACGGTGCTGATGGCCGGGTATTGTCACTGCTCAGCAGTGGACAACATAAGGGAACCCTTTAACAGCGACCTTTTAGATAGCGAGTGACTAATATTGTATCGATACCATGACTTCAAATTGGAGTTTTTTTTACGGTCAATTATTTTGCTTGCAAAGATAAGCAGGTTTTGTAGATGTCAGGCTGAAGGTGTGAAATTGATCAAATATCCAAATGTAGGCCCCTCTTAAACAGTCGTCATACTCAGGCTTGCCTGCTAAATAATTGGCAATGATTAAATAACCCTTTCAATTTCTAACCAGCCTCAATAATTATCACTACATTCCCATAAATATTCGAAGTACTGCACACTATTTGGTTTGGTTGTTACAGACCCTTTTTTTAAATTACTAACAAGTTATCTCTGTATTCTTTGGTTCTTTATGTAAGGTCACGTAGATAGAAATAAGTAATATTAAAAAAAATACTTTTTATAAAACACTCTTTAATGAAATGTACCGTACTAGTAATGGCAAAACTCCACGACTCCAGGAAGTGGCCCCGAAGCTTGCCATAACGTAAGGGACCGTGGTGATTTACAGCCAACGTTAGTTGAGCGTGGGCAATTAGACTCAAGCCGAAACATAACATAAAAAGATGGTTTAAAAATATTTTATTTTTAATGATAGAATATAGTATTGTCATCAGTATGACATAAGTATAGCAAATTTGCAGTTGATACCACATTGGGAAGTGGGTTAAAATTGAGTTACAAGATTTGAGGATACTACAACAGAGCGAGTTAAATAAAAGCGTGTAAAATAATAATGAAATAAAGTTACTTAACCGAAAGAACCAAAGAATATGAATTCCTGCAGTCACGAAAGCTATGTCGAAAGTTATCTCTGCTGGTCAGATGAATGCAAAGTATTCTAGGTACAGTATACTGTAGCAATACTTTAAACATGAGCGTCCGTTTTGCCTTATGCTTCTCACGTAGTCAAACATTAATCAGACTACGTTGTTGTGTTAATGTAGTCTGGTAATTCGTTTTTAGAAGTACATTATTACAGTTGTGCAAGTTAATTTGGCCATTGTTACAGTCAGAATCTTAACAAAAAATGTTTAATTTGAAAAGTATATCATTCATTATTACTTCTAAATAGTTGATTTTTTTCCTTCAATTTACAACATTTTTCTGATCTCTTTATTACGTTAATTGAAATGGAAAAACCTGTTTGTTTTAATATGGCCACAAAGCATAACTGCACATTTCAAATGTTTGACCTGTGTTCAGTATTTAACCACTCAGGGTACCCTGTTGTGTTTCCTATTGTAGTTTACTAAACAAATGAGTAAAGCCATAGCATACTGTACATAACATGCAGTGGTGTGATGGTTTGGTTATGGGCCCTGGTGCAATAAATAGGACCCCCGATCCTATTTCCCTTATCTTTGTAGCCTGGTGCTTGGGCCTTTCTGGCCCATGGGCCAGAGAGTGCATTTGCGCACTGCCTGTACACTCGATAGCTAACCCCACTGATAACGTGTGTTGTTTGCATGAACAGACATTAGGCTGGAAGCTCAAGCATCACTGCACCAGGCTTTGGAGATGAAGCGACAAGGCAAGCGCGACAAAGCACGGCGTCTCTTCCAGCACTGCTTGCGTCTCGATCCTGACTTTCCCGATGCTCTCAATGAGTACGGCCTCTTCCTGGAGGAGGATGAAAACGTGGTGCAGGCAGACCACATGTTTAACCGTGCACTCGCACTCATGCCCTGTCATTTGCAAGCGCTTAGCAACCGCGGGCGAACCTCGCCCCTCGTGGAAGAGATCGACCAGCGTCGCTTCGCCATCATCGACAGCAAGGTGAAGAGCAGTTGCTGCTGTTTGGTGCAAGTGGATACTAAATATATGTATCTTATCAAAAATTATATATTTACTTGTGGAATAATCGCTGGGACATAACATTCAATTTTGAGCACTCTTTTTTTAACTTGAGTTTGCATGCATTTTCAACCAAAATGTATGTTTTAACTGATATTTCTATCAAGTGTTGGTGATTTAAATTACTGTGCTTTCCTGGCACTTGCTTAAATCGTCATCAAAATAGTACAGCTAGTAATGCTTAAAATGTAATTGTATAGATGCTTTGAAATAATTAGTTTACTTTGACGGCTGTTTTATGTGCAGGTCAAGAAGCTTTTGCTCATCCCCAAGTGGGACGGAGCCTTACGGCGAGTGATGGAGGAGAGCTATTACCATCACATCCATCACACGGTAGCACTCGAGGGCAACACACTAACACTCTCAGAAATCAAGCACATTGTCGAGACACGTTACGCAGTCTATGGAAAAAGCCTCGCCGAGCAGAACGAAGTTTTGGGCATCGACGCCGCCATGAAGTACATGAACGCCTCGCTCGTCAACCGCATCGGCTCAATCACTACCACCGATATCCTGGAGATCCACCGGCGAGTGCTGGGCCACGTGGATCCCATAGAGGCTGGCTATTTTCGTCGATCACGCGTCTTCGTTGGGAGCCATCTGCCTCCAGAGCCGCGCGAAGTGGAGAGGCACATGGGAAAGTTCACGCAGTGGCTCAACTCCGAAGAAGCGCTAGCCCTGCACCCGATAGAGTTCGCCGCGCTGGCGCACTACAGGCTGGTGTACGTGCACCCGTTTGTAGACGGCAACGGGCGAACGTCACGTCTCCTCATGAACCTCATTCTCATGCAGGCCGGGTATCCGCCAGTCACCATCCGCAAAGAACAACGCGCTGAATACTACACTGCGCTGCAAGTTGGGAATGATGGGGACGTGCGACCTTTCATACGCTTCATTGCACGATGTGCAGAGATGACATTGGACCAGTATCTCATAGCCAGCTCAGATTTCAGTCCAGACAAGGGACTCCCAGAAAGCATTCCAGAATATTCAAACACGATACAATTGAAAGACTGGTAAAGTCTTTGATATTGATTTCATTTGTTCGTGCGGATTGTTATTACTGACCATTAAAAACGTATGTGCTGAGCATGTGCTTCGTTTGAACCGACAGATAACGTTCAATGTGCAATAGCAGTGTGGTTCAAAGGCTATTTCAATCTTTACTCGTTTAAGTATACTTGGATTTCTAACAGCCTTGCATGTATCTTCATGTTCAGTCTTGATTATTTGCATCGCGTTCCAATTATGCATTTCTAAGACCTTGCCTAACCGGTATATCTTCCCCACACAGTACAGACCCGAGGAGGCATTCTTATTGATCAACGTAACAGCCTTTCAGTTTTGCGGTGCAATTTTTCAGGGAAATGCATATTTCTCTTTTGTGTGCAATTTTGTTAATGGCATTATGTCATTAAATGTGTAATAGAGACAAAAGTAAAAAATGTAGCAGTCCCTTGTTTGTAAATTATGATGGAACAGTATATTTTCATAGCGTTTCACATGCAGAATGTTTCTTAACATCGTGTGTTGCAATCAAAACGTGTTCTGACTACATTGTGTTGAATAAATAATTTATTTTGCAAATATAACATGCTGTGAAAGTACTATGCTTAATTACATGAAAGCTCCTTGTGAATGTATTAAATTATATATTTTGCTTAAATACAAATAATTATGGATAAACGTGTACATTAATATGCCCCTTAATGTGCCATTAATATATAAGAATTGACAATTCTTATAAAAATGGTTATGAAATACACGTTCATAACTTGATTTGCCCATATACAATTACTACTGTAATCAACAAACGGTGACAGTTTAATGAAAAATGTAAGAAAATATTACATTTACTCTACATTTTCAAATTCGTAGTATCAGTAACCTCTGGCTTGCTTTGCTTCTTTGTCCCGGGCAGCTTGTTTGAGACTTGCTCGAGCATCTTCAAATGCTGGATTGAGTTCAACAGCCTTGTGAAAGTCCTTGATTGCGTCATCAAAAAACCCTGAAATAAACCATTTAAAAATATCAACACGTTAACCTCAATGTCAAACATTTGGTTCCACAATAATACAATACTTCCCGTTTTAATAAAACTACAGCCCTTCAATCTGTTGCTGAATCAAGGCCTGCCCCCCCCCCCCCCCCAAGTCATGTGGACTGTTAGTGCTGTGTGCTGTTTACTGCCACCACTCACATTTGACAGTACAGTATACAATAAGATGTAATTGTCTTTCTATAAAAAATAATAATTGATAGTTGACAAATCAGCGTTTCAATGGTCAATTTGAAGTCCCCCAACTCATGCACAAACAGTGGTGGCATCGGACACTTTTCTTGCTACATGTTTTACAATCACTCCGAGACATGGTGTTCAAAGTTAATGACAAATAATGAGTAAGCTACCACTTATTTTCTGCTGACATGGGGAATACCTAGCCTGTAGAGAACAAGGCCCCTGTTGTAGTAAGGAATGGGGAAGTCCTTGTTGCACTCAATGGCCTGTGTGTAGTCTTCCATTGCTTCATAAAAGTCCACGCGCAGGTACTTGATCTGCCCTCGGTTGTTAAAGGCGACGGCACAATCTTCGTTGCTATGTCAGAAACACAACAAGTAAATGTCAAGTCCCTTATTTCATCTTACAGCAAGATTGAATTATGCAGCAATGCATGGTTCAAACTTATGTTACCAGTTTCAATGTTGCCGCGTTTGCCGTTTGTTTTTTCAATCAGCTTCTAATCGTAGCCGGCTTCCAACTTACACGTGACTTTCGCCAAACTTACCACTAATTTCTGATCAATATTAACACCCACTTAAAAATTACTGTCACGTGGATGTGCTGAATAAAGATGAATGTTTACATAACACAATAGTGCCTCTTTAACCCAGGAAAGTTTCACCAAGTCTCAACACGTTTCGAGGAGGGTCCCGGGTTTGGATGTTTTTCCCAATTCCGATTCAACAACTTTTGGCTTTGCGTGAGAGTAACCCGGATTAAAACCCACCGTGCATTCACGATGGGATGACGAAGGTTGAAAGCTGTGTACACAGCTTATATATTTAATCCCTTGATGCACTGCCATCTAATGTCCACACGTGGCATCGTGTATACAGAGCAATCGCACATGCCGTGCGAGTGAGGCGGTTCTCGGCGACATTTCCACACCACATACACGGAAACGATTGAACGCAGGGTTTGTGGACTCTGAATGGGAACTTGCTGTGACGGGCACGAGGTCTCGGGGACGCCCAACACCATTACTCTCTGTGACTCTCTCGGCGTCTTGCGGCATGTCTACTGGTGTCACCTCGTGAGTCGCGGTGTCTCCCAGTGGCTCGCCCGTGTCTCCCCGTGTCTCCCCGTGGCTCACCATGTCTCACCGTGTCTCCCGGTGTCTCCCCGTGTCTCCCGGTGTCTCCCCGTGTCTCCCCGTGGCTCACCGTGGCTCACCGTGGCTCACCGTGTGGCTCACCGTGTCTCCCGGTGTCTCCCCGTGTCTCCCCGTGTCTCCCGGTGGCTCACCGTGTCTCCCGGTGGCTCCCCGTGGCTCACCAGTGTCTCCCTGTCTCCCGGTGTCCCTGTGTCTCCCGGTGTCTCCCTGTCTCCCCGTGTCTCCCTGTGTCTCCCGGTGTCCCTGTGTCTCCCTGTCTCCCCCCGTGTCTCCCTGTGTCTCCCTGTCTCCCCGTGTCTCCCCGTGTCTCCCCGTGTCTCCCCGTGTCTCCGCGTGTCTCCACGTGTCCCCCTGTGTCTCCCGGTGTCTCCGCGTGTCTCCCTGTCTCCCTGTGTCTCCCAGTGTCTCCCAGTGTCTCCCAGTGTCTCCCTGTGTCTCCCTGTCTCCCCCCGTGTCTCCCTGTGTCTCCGCGTGTCTCCCCGTGTCTCCTTGTGTCTCCCGGTGTCTCCCCGTGTCTCCCTGTCTCCCTGTGTCTCCCCGTGTCTCCCTGTCTCCCCCCGTGTCTCCCTGTCTCCCCCCGTGTCTCCCTGTCTCCCCCCGTGTCTCCCTGTGTCTCCCCGTGTCTCCCCGTGTCTCCTCGTGTCTCCCCCCGTGTCTCCCTGTGTCTCCCCGTGTCTCCCTGTGTCTCCCGGTGTCCCTGTGTCTCCCCGTGTCTCCCCGTGTCTCCCGGATGCCCCCCCCCCACCTCCCTCTCACCAGAGGCGATCGCGCCGGGCCAGCAGCCCCGAGTAGAGCTCCTCCGCACGGCCAAGCCGCCTCTCCCGTAGGCACGCGTCCGCCTCCTGCAGAGACATAGAGTGGGGGGCAGGACAGGGCCCACAGAGCACTGGGAGGGGGGCAGGCAGTGGAACAAGAAGACAGGGAGACGAGGGGACAAGGAGATGGCGGGGAAAGTGGGGGGACCGAGATCTTCAACGCGACTGTAGCGTGCATTGCGAAGGTGCCACATCAGAGGGTGTTTACCCTCCAAATGGTGATGCGAAGTTCTGGTGTGAGGTCGGAGGATTTTGCCCTCCGGATCGGAGATCTTCGATGCGAGAGTGCGATAAAGTTTTGGGACTTTGCACATCCAGATCTGTGTTACAATTTGTGGGCCTGGTCGGAGGGGATTTTGTTTCAGTACGTGGGGAGTGAGGAGGTCTGGTGCCGAATAGGATAATAAAGTTTTGTGTGTCTAGTTGCAGGGGCCATGGACTCATGTTAAGTTGTCACCTACAGATATTGCTGAAAGTTTGCTCATTCTGGTGCCAGATTCGAGACATTGGAATCCCACGATCACTTGAGCGCTGCGGGGTTTTTGTTGTTGCATGTTATGTGAAATTGTTAGTTTTTCATCATTCACTACAAACATGAAACGTATGAGTAACGTCTCGAAACCTCCCCAAAAACCATACTGATGCATGCATTTTTAGTTGACGTTGCTTGCAGAGCAAAGTCTTTCGTAGTTTATTACATGTATGAAAAACATTGCGTTACTTTTATAGTGTTTTGTAATTTTTATTTGCAATTTTACAAAACAAATCCGAGTTATTTTCCCCCGCTCGTCATACATTCCGGAAAATGTTGCGTTGTTCAAATTAGGCCTTATGCCGTGTAACTATTTACGTGGTTAGTCATGATATGTATCATTAGCATGTGGTGACTTCCACGACGTTTAAAAGTGTGTTTAGCAATATATCAACAGCACCAATTACAGTTACTGCACAGCAATGATGCAAATACTACCCAAAATATATCACATATACGCATGCAAATAAACTTCATATCCACTGAATGAAAAAACAATGTCTGGAAAACATATTTTCGAGAGAAAATTTAATATTATTTAACGCAGATCTTAATTTCATCGTGCAACAGTTGCATTTAATTTTTGTTTCAACAAGCTGCTCGGGCTATTTGTGGTTGCGGGCAATACAAATGTGTGGGTTGTGTTTTGCAAGCGGCACGGTATTGTATACACATCCAGCGTAAATGTAATTCAATAATTGTTGCTCAAGTAACACACAACGCTAAACTTTGCAATGCTTCTGACTCACTGCAATTGACTGGCGTACAGCAACATGCTTCGTGCCACGCGCGTAGTCAAACATTACCAGGGGTTTGCCCATATAATTGTGTGCTTAAAAATATCCAAACATATTACATGCACATCAAACCCCCCTGTTTATGTTGCGGATAAGTTCAACATTTTTTTACAGGGCAGGTGGAGGCGAAGGTGACGGATACGGGAAATAACTAACGATGCTATCTGTCAGCAACGTAAGTGTGGGTTGAGGCGACGCAAATCATGGTAACGGTATTAATAAAACGATGTAAACATGGGGTAGACTTAAATCGGGTATTACTATACTTTGGATTACAGTACGTGGTTTTTTTTGCAGATTTTCCATATTTGGGCGTAGAAATAATACTGCAATATACAGTATTGACTGCACTGTATTAGATTTTACATTGTGTTATTTGGCATTATTGCATTGCCACATATCTCTTGAGTGGAGTGGTGGTGCACTGGTTAGCGTACTTCGCGACGAACCAAAATAACTTGAGTTTGATTCCTGGTCATGGCGAATGTCAGCGGAGGGCGATATATTTCTAAACAGGTTCTTGTCCCACACTCTTTACCATCCCGTTGTCATCAACACAGTAAAGTTTGGTCAAACAATTCCCATGACCGACAGCATGGGAAACGCATCCATTCAGTGGCTGGATTGACAGAGCGCGCTATAAAATCGTATTTTAGCCATTATCTACGTCACGAAAGAATTTTAATGTATATGAAAACATAATTACGATGTACTCTGCTGCCTGTTGTTAACCTTTATAATTACATATTATAATGACTCCCCATGGTACAACATTTATTAAATGCATTATTGAAGACATAAACTTGCAAGATTTTACTTCTACGATAAAGTGAAAACATTTTTATGAAGCCTAAATATGTGCATCATACATTCTAATATATAGTAAACAAAATAGTAAACAAAAAAGTATATTTGTATTCCGCCACACTAAATAGTGCCCATATTTTTATTGTATTTTTTCAGTACATAAAGTATTAAATTGTGTTATACGACATTTAAAATATTAAAACCTTTTCAGTTCAGCCACCATAATTAATATTTTTATTAAACAAAATGAGTATTATTAAAATAATATATATAATTACTGGAATTAAATGCCTATTATGATAAAAATTTTTATAGAAATACCAATTTCATTGCCCATCACAAGCTTTAAGTAAATATAATTGATCTGACTATCATGTTATCAATATAGAGGCTTATTTCGTAAAAAAAAGTCTTAGACACCCACCAAATCAGCTGGCAACTATAATTTTACATTTTATACTGTTTACACAAGAGGGTCTATCTTACACAAGCCCAAATTAATGTTAATATAATTAAATCAGATCAATCATAGTTCAGGTCCGAATGGTCTACAGATACACCCTTCCAATATGTGAATTATGCCTGACATCTGTTACCTGTTAACATATACCATTACCGAAACAGTAAACATCAAAAATAAATATCCGGGATTTTTTATTCAGTTAAATGATATTGTTGGAGATGTGACTCCTTAAATGTGTCAAAAAGTAGGTAGTAAACAGGGAATGTTTCTGATAAAGCATGGAGAGAGATGTATTGTCCAGGCATTGGCTGTGTGTCATGTAGCCGTCTGTCTCTTCTAATCACCCTTGCTTCTGGGTGTTTCTTCCTTGCTGTCCTGGGCCTCCTGTGGTGGAATGTCTTTCTCCTTCTCCCCTTCTTCTTTTTGTTTTTCGCTTGGGTTGTCCGGCTTCTGATCGTGGTCATCCTGCGCTTTCGCAGCTCCATCTGTATGGACCGCTTTGTCGTCAGGATTCTCTGCATGGACAAAATTTATCACAAACACGGCAAACTATGAATAATAAACAACAATCATGACCAGCGATAGGCTTATTGGGGCCCTGGGTGCCAGTTCCAGAGGAAACCACATGCCCTTCTCCAAGTCCGCTGCGCCTAGAGCAGAGGGCAGAAACCTGAGGTTCCAGCGCCACATGTGGCTCTTTAGGGGCTGTATTGTGGCTCTTGAAATATTGAGTGGTTTTCTGAATTCGAACAAAAATGGCTCTTCTCGTTATTTTGTGTGCTGACCCCTAGTCAAGATAAATTAGATATGCCAATGAGTTTGGGGTGTAAAGTGCTTCCACTCCTTGAAGCGGAACGTTGCTAAACGAACCTAAAAAAGTTACTAGACGTCACTACGTAGGCTTTATAAAGTCTTAAAAAATGTCACGAGATTAATTACCAAGCATAAAACATAGTAAACTGATACAGGATCCATAGTACAGACCTGGAATCGCTCCCAAATCTGCATATTATCCAAAAATTACCTATATTGTTGCTTGATCTAACAAGATATTGTCACAATGGAAATAACAAGTCACACGATTTAGCAACACAGTCGCCATATAAATGTAGAATTTACAACTCTGGTTGATGACGGCAACTGCAAATTAGCACCACACAACTCTCACTTGATTTAAACACGTTTCGAATTAGACCCCTTAGACATACATTTCAATTATCACTTACAGCTGCTCGAGGGAGGGTTAAGAATACATCTCCACCCTGTGTAAATCACTGGGGGTGTGGGGGCGCCTCTGGAAATGCATTTTTGTCCCTGAAATGTATTTTTGCACTCCTGTATATTGACCAGCTAAGTGACTGCCTATGTATAACCTCTTTAATGCTTTTGCCTGTGAAGCATTATGGGAATGCTTTACTGTCTATCTTTGCTACTGATAACCATTATAATCTTTATTCATATTCGTGTGATGTCAGTGTTCATCGAAGTAAAGATTCGTCAATTACTAAATGTTTATCTGGACAAAGGCCTTCTGACACTGCCATCATCCCTCACGGTCCTACGATGCCACAGAGATTACTAAAGATATATGTTTTGAATGTAAAAAACATTCATGTTATAAACGTTATATTTCAATCTATAATTGTCATCATGTTTGAGTTGCAGAAGAAAATTAAGCCTGATGTGGTGCAGTATTATAATATCCATAGATATAAAATATCAAGAAGTGTATGTTAGATTATTAATCTGATGAACTAAGATGTTAAAACATTTTTGAAGTTGATGTAATAAATTATTTTTTTCAATAAAAGAATGAAGATTTACCACAACTTAATCACAACAAATGTAAGTGCGCTTGTAAAAAATTGCATTCGCATAATTAATTTGTAAAAGGTATCAAACATTATACCACAGTTTGTGTACAATACGCACAACTTAATACAGTAAAGTATTCTTAATATACATACAGTGGCTGTTGCATATATGTTTCTCTGTATATGGCCCGTATATATACTGTATAAATATATCATGTATTTTACATGCGTTCTGTAATCGATTGCAATGGGCACATTATAGCTGGTTTAAAAATAGAATAAAATGAACGTACTCCCTTTGGTGGCCTTTTCATGTGCAGGAGGATGTGGCTTGTCTGCAGAATCAACCACCGTCGCCGACTTGCTGCTGTTGCAACCCATGTCCCTTGGAATGACAAAAATCAACGTGGTTTTGAAGTCGTGGTATTAAACAAATCTTGACAGCTCCAAGCAGCCTCCAGTACTCGTCACCTGCGCAGAGTTCTCAACCCCCTTTTATCAGCCACAGATTTTATGGCACCTGACACCAAACCAGTAGTAACCAGCAGTGTTTTGTTTTGTTGTATATTGTTGCTAGTGCCGTCACCATCCAAACATACTTGTGGGTTGCCAATGGGGGTCAAACTTTAGGGGTGAATGCGTACGGTATTTTTAAATCAAAGTCTCATTGGCGGCATATGCTATCAAAGAATAAGGAAGCGTCGCTGTATTTTGTATTGGCCTCCGACATGCTTGGACGAATAGTCTCATAGTAACGGAATACTGTAACAGACCTCATGCAAAGATGGTGACATACAGGAGGAAGTGGTTGTGAAGTGGTTAGCCTCCAATAGCTAAACAACCCCCATAACTGACATGGCATGGGGAGGGCCTTCATACAACAGTGGATTGACAACAGCAAAAATATTATTGCTGCAGTATTCGGTAAAACATAAACTTTACAAAGACGCACTTATATGAATGTTTCATAAAATGATTTAGCAATTTATGTCAGACATGCATAACGATGTTTATTAATGTATTAATGTTCATATTAACGTGAAATATGCGTTTCTAAATCACAATACGTATTGTGTTTTGAGAAAAATATTTGATTGCATATTAGAAATAAAGTACTCATGAAAAGAAAAATGTTCCATGAGTGTGAGTGTTGAATATTTATACTCTTTGGTTATTTCGGTACCGTAGCAGTACGGTGCAATAAACAAATTATCTCGTGATACTGCTTTGGCAGTGGTCCACAAACACAAATAACAAAAACTCAACATTTTCGTCAATAACACTGGCTTAAAACAAGAAATATTTTGTGGTTATAGAAATACGTAATATATTTCTCCTTTCTTCATAGCACATGAATACACTATTTACGTGCTATGAATGTGCTCTTCATAAACAACATGAATGTAAATTTTGATTTAAAGCTTTCGTGACTGCAGTAATTCATAATCTTAGTTCTTTCGGTAAAGTCACGTTGAAGGGAAACAACAAAATAATAAAAAAATTATATAAAACAATAACGTGACTTTACCGAAAGAACTAAGAATATAACATGAATGTAGTTTGAAGAAGGGTCATTGCCTAAAACGTCGCTAATTTACATATTTTTATCATAATATATTTACGATTGTATAGTAGTTTATCATGAGAGACTTTCATAGTACTATTCTGAAACAAGTATGAGAAGTATGAGAATGGGCACAGTGCATTGTCTGGATACTGACATTTAATCGCTCAGATGACCCCATTGACATTAATACACGTTTCAACGTTTTAAATTTATATACAGTATGTTATGGATAACAAAAAACAAAATTTATAATATAGGGAAATTCACATCAACATTGCAAAACAATATTACTCATTCACATTTTATGGTATTTTTTTTAGCAAAGAAGTCTGGAGCTTTAGAACCCAAACTGTTGGAAAACTGACTGCAAACTATTTTGATTTACAATATTTTTTAAATACATTATTTATATGAAGCCATTGTTACATCTGGTTTTTTAAAAAAAAGTATTTTTGTTGAATCTTACAAATGATGTCATGTCAAGTTAGAGAGCATGGTGCAGCACTTTATTATTGTTTTGAAAGACATACTTGTAGGCGCTGCCATCCACTAGCAACCATTGCCATCCCTTAGCAACTATTGCTTAGGCTTATTTTGTGAGTTAGCTCTTGAGGAGACACTCAAATGCTTCAGACGTTCGTCCGAGTCTGTTAACCTGTGCTTATTGTCTGGGTTGGAAAAGTACATTTATATAATGCTCTAACATACATTGTATCATTGCCCATTCATTGAGGTGACACAGAAAAAAACCCTTCACATACTGTACTTGAATGTACATTTTCTCAAGTGTAAATGTTTTTACAGTATTTAGACTACTGTTCTTAGTAAGACATGGGCAGCAATGAAAACTTGGTATGCTTCAGATCCTGCAATACAATACGATTGCTCTGATGATCTAATGTTTAGAGGCCGCTAGGGGGTGGCATTGCTACACTTTAGCTTTAATGTCGATGTAACTTTGTATTCACATTCCTGTACGTGAATACAAAGTTACAAACGTCCATTTTACTAGTCAATTAATGGTACATTAATATACGCATTGAAATAATTATTTATTATGCCAAACTCTGTTATCTATAACTGATTGATGTTCTACATATTTACATGTGGAACACAAATCAAATTAATCGTAAAGCCTAAATCAGTACGAAGAGGGTTCTCAAAATCACAGAATATAAAATGTACATTTAGATCAAATTGTAAATTATAGTACATACTACAATGCACACATTCTACTCTTCATCAATTATTGCATTATACACAATTGGCTCCAAAAAAACACTTTGTCTAATTCTGACATCACATTTTTAAATGTAGCAACGTGCACATGAATGGAGATCTTAAAAAGAAACAGCAACAATGGAAATTGCAAGTAAAGATATCAAATAAAGATATGTACGTGAATACATATGCTTGTTTATAACAATAAAATACACCTGTGTTCACCAATAAAACCACTGGGTGACAGCTTAACGAGCTAAATAGGATCTGAAAACAATTCGAAGAAGTGCATATTTCGTACATAAATCGAAGATCAAGGACTCACCATACTGCATATGTGGTGAGGTGCAAACCATTCGGCATCACTAAAGACTGTTCAATACAACACGCATATGCAATAAGTGGACTCCACTCAGCTATCCCGTTTGCTATGTCATGTCTTACACAATTAAAAAAAAACATACAAAAAATGTAGCCTGTTGCTTCTTTCAAATGCCACGCAAAAGAAGTAGATCTAAATATTAACGGTTTAGAACAATATCCATAGATGCTATTGTTATTTTGCACAAATGCTGTAAAACTTGATATATGGTGCTCCTACCTCGTCGAAGACTGTGTATTCACCAGTGAGATATCTGTTGCGATGGAGCTTGGAAAAGGAACAGAAAAATGTTTATTTTAATGGGTTAGCCATTAATCAGCCACATTTCACAGAAGTTTGTGGCATGCATCACCAACTCATCTAGAGAGGGCAACTGTGCATCACTGTAATCTGTCTATATTTATCTTTGAAATAGACCGATCTTTGTTCGCTTCTCCACAGAAATAAATAAAGTATGCTTTTGCCTATCAGCCTTTTGACTTGTTCATAATTTTATAATATTAATAGTGAATTTCTACATTCCCTTCTTTACTCCTTGGTTATTTTATTTTATTCTCTTCTTTGTTTTAAGTATTTCTGTGCACTGTGGGTAATAACCTTCAATGTTTGTCATCTGGTTCCTGTTCATGTATCGTCTCATTATCCGTGACATACTAAAATAACAGGATTGAGTCACAATGTTTAAATAAGAAGAAATTCCAAGAATACAAAGTCACAGTAAATGATAATAATAAAATACAACCGTTTTGCTAATCCACTTCTGGATGTATATCTCCCTATGCCGTGTCAGCTGTGGGTGGGTTGCTTGACCATACTTCACTATGATGTCTAGCGCTGTTGGTGAATGCGGGCTGTTAACCGTGACCAGGAATCAAACTCACGTCGCCTTGATTCGTGAGCAGTGTCCTAACCGCTGCTCTACTGCTCCAGTAACTGCACAGTTTTAGTAGTCCTGGTGATGTATTCATGAGCCTCGATTTAATCCTCCATAAGCACCTTTTGCTTATCTGTCCACAGGGTTTCTCTGACATTTCCTTTGACCCTTAATTCTGCATGAATTTTTCTTGAGTACACGTTGAATTTATTGCCTGGCATTGTGTCCAGGGACATATGGTAGACGTAAAAGTACAGCCATTAGCAATGTTGTGGTCTGGTTATGAATTGTCAATTGTTTTTATTGTAGTCAGATTGTGAAAATAGTCCAGCTACACGTAGACGTCTCATGTCGCCAAAAAACGATTGGTGTTTGCAGGCAAGTAGTCTACATGCTGGATGTTAGCAGATTTATCTGTGCTTCCTGTTTTATTATCAAGTCGTAGAAAACGTACAGAGTTCTCAGAATTTCATTCTCATTACATCACTCTGGAATGGAGTAAAGAATCCCCATGTTTTTACAAGTGGCAGCGAAAGTCTTTGGAAAAGGATATTAAATCTACAGACTGCAACGCTTATTACAAATGTTTTGGTGAGGCTGCATGGACAGTGGTGCACAAGCGTAAGTAACAAAACAACTCAATACATTCGTCAACAACCCCGCTCTAAAAGGGAGCATATATAATAGGCGATTTTTCGGGTAATGCCCCTTCTTTTTCACGTGCCATGAAGAATGACTATTGCTCAAACCGTAATCCATTGCAGTGTTCCTTTTAAGGCAATACCGCATAGCTATCTTTACACGAGTAATACATCAAGTTAGAAAACACAAAGATGTTTGCGTGACATTTTCCAGTAACCATCAATTCGTTTGGTCACCTTTTATCGCCCTTGAAATTAGTATGTTTGAATTATGGACGTTTATATTTTCACCACATATGCTGTAATACATGAGGGGGTGTTTCTGCAGTGGTTAGTGCTCTGCAATATGATGAGTCTGGTGGCCCGAGTTAAATGGCCAGCCATGGCTAACATGAGTTGTGAATTATAATGCAACATTTGCTGTGCCCCTTCACAAACCCACACTGGCCAGTGTGGTAACATATGGTCAAAGACAAAGCTTCACCGTATAGCCTTTAACAAACTGTTGGGGAAAGTGCTGTTCGTGAGCGCTTCTGAAGGCCGGCACGGTACACGAGGGGGTAAGTATCCAGCAACACGCCCGGCCGTCTTTGTCTCCCCAGTGGCGATGTTTACACATAACACCAGGTACTGATTTGAGGCTGAGTTGACATTGAGGAGGCCCAGGACCGGTTCTGATAATCGTCACCGGTGTTGGCCGTGAGCGGGAATCGAACTCGTTTAGCCGGTCTTTTAGCGTAGCGCATTAACCACTGCACCACCGATCCAAACGATCCCCCGTGACCGACAGTTGAGATAGAGCTTCATCCATTTGAAAGTCGACCCACACAACAAATATTATTATCATTGCAATACACATGAGCACACATCCTCAAACCTTCATGCAAAAAAGTTAATATGAACTGGAATTTATATGTATTGAAGAAGTAAAAGAGATGGCAAAAAATGTAATATCTTTGTACGTGTCATATGCTTAGAAATTAATCAAGTTGCATCGTGGCATACTTGTTAGAGTTTTTCAAAGACATTAAATAAATGGTACCATTTTATTTCAAGTGATGCACTCTGACCTTGATTACCTTCTCTCGACAGCAGTAGTTCCAAATGCCTTAGATATTTTGATACCTTTGATAAATGACTCCCAGTTATGAACTTTTTTTTTTCAAAGTCTTAGCTAAAGAAGGAAGGTCATGGAAAAATTACTATTGAAGATACTGCAGAACATGAAATCATTAATATTAGTCACATCCTTCCTCTTTTAGATGTGCAAGTATGAAAAGGGTTCATACTTATGAGGGCAAATTTACAAATATGTTTATGACATACTTGATCATCAAAAACAAAGTAGTCCAATTCACATAATCGACTCACTTTAACGTTTTAAGTCCAATAACGAACAGCATTCTTATCACATGAGTCTGTGGTGCCAATCATAACTGCAAGGGTTCAGTATAGACTGGATAAACCCGACTTCAAATTAATATCAGCCGATGGTTAAGTGGCCAGGTGGATCAGGAGCGCCGCTGCGATCATGGGTTCAAATCAGACAGCTGCTCATGATGAAATCAGGTTCTGAAGAGTTGGGAATTGATATTCTCACCAGTCACCAATATTTGCACCCAAAAACACATCAGGCAAAATTCCAGCTCTAAGAATAAAAAAACACACAATTTGACTGCCATGCAGTGAACGTTTGTCTGTAAAAATACGCATGGGAATGTGTGCCCTCTATTATGTGAATGTGAATAAAAATGGTCAACTGAAAATGTCAGAATAAATTCTGCAAAATCTGCATCTGCAGGCCATTCTCCAATAAATGGTGATGCATTGCTCTGCAAAAAGTTACAAATAGATACGACGTCTCATAGCATGAGACCAATAGCACAAATAATTGGGGGGGAAAATATATAGATAAAAACATCCAATGACAAAGCCAGCTCAGTGTATATTGTACAGCGTGTGCAAGTCAACCAGATCAGACCTAAATATTCAATTGTTTGATTAATTTATTCTCTTGCAGCAAACTATGTGAAAACGAATGTATTAATAAAATGAATTGTTATATGTTCGTGTTCATGCCTAAAATACAGTTTTATTTGACTCATGCCATAGTAGAATGTATCATGTCGCTACCTTTAAAATATAACGAATTTCTATTGTATTGCACATAACCACTGATAAGTTTTGGCAGCTTTTAGCATTTAATGTTCATCATGTATTGTACTTGTTGATTTTTAAATATAATGTTTCAAAGTAACTATTCATTGACCGTTAATTTAATTCAAATTATCAAGTTATTGTCCATGATTACACAGAACTCTACACCAAGTGATAATTATGTTAAAGGTTTGAAACATTATAAGCAATGCAGTACCAACTCTCCCCAAAATAACTTTTGAACCACAATACCTTGCTGATCTCGTCAAGGAGCACACACCATCACGCACTTTCAAATGCGCTTCTGCGGCCGTCTGGAATGCTCTTCCTTCCGATATTAGGAAGCCATTGCAGCGATGCACTTTCAAATCTGATTTCGGAAACGCATTCTTCTTCGAACTGCTTTTTGTGTTTTGTTTGTTGTCATTCCCCCGAGCGCGGTTGGCTACATACGGTGCAAAAGAAGTTCAACATACATACATCCCCACCATTGACAATGTTCTTGCCGACAATGTGTTCACTCTAGGAATTTGCCATGTATTCATGCCTTAAGGTTTGTTTGTTTCATAAGAGCTTAGAATAGCCTATACCAGGGCAGGGTTTAAGCCTTTCACGCGGATTGTCTATTGACTCTCACGTGCTCACACTCGTTTAAGGATTAATTAGCACTATTTGCGGCAGGCCATTGTATTCCCAGAAACATAACATTAATTTTCTCCCACCCTAACTACCACTGTCACCCTGCGACTGCATTGACAACTGCTTGTATTTTTAATCTGGTAAACTTGAGTGAATGATGCATTGTGATGTATACAGGCCTTTGTAACTTTGGTCATGGGGATTGTTTGACCATGCTTCATCATGCTGGTCAGGGTGGGTTGTTGAAAAAAATGCCCCAGGAGCAGTTTAGATATTACTTACCGCCGATGTTCGGCATTGTTTGGAATAAACTCGGATTTCTGGGTTTATAGTGCTAATCACTGCATGTGTAGTGCTTTTTAATTAATGTAAAATCAGTCATATACTACTGGAGTGGTGTCATCAGGAATACAATGTAGAGGCCTCTGCCTCTAAATTGTATTAACACACCACCTACCTAGGGATTGTATGATTTTTTTGTACGATTTGGTGTCACGATTTAATTCAAGAATATCTTTTTGTTTTAAATGTGGTTCTTGTTTGTATCGTTTGTCATATTCACAGTCCCATTTGGCCAAGCCGAGACTTACCTGGCGCTTGTTGCTGAAGGGCCTCTGTGCCCCAAGGCTGCCCTGACAGCTGCTCGTTCTGCCCTGGTTTCCCCGGTTGTCCCTGGTGCCCATTGGTGCCGGGCTGTCTTCATTGCCGCTTAGGATTAGTTAGGCCCTGGTTGCTTTTTTTTCTG